TCTTTTGGGTCCAGTGTGACCTCGAAGTTGGAATCCACTGAATCTGGGCGGGGTTCGTCAGCGCGGGTGTCGATGATGTTGGTCTGTCGTGGTGCCATGACAGGACGCGCGATTTCTGGTTGGCTCTTGGTCCATGGTAGGCCGCACAACTCCCATGTTCCCGCCTTGGTGGGGAATTTGAGTTTTTGGTGGCACGTGGATGGTAAAGCCATGAATTTTGCAAGGAACGGGTGGCCCAAATTGTCATTGTGTGGTGAGTCACAGTCTAAAATAGTAAACTTGACCTGCTTCGAGATGCGCGGCTCGTCGTCTCCAATTACAACGGGTAGTGTGATTGCTCAAATAACCGCAACCCGTGTTCTGGAGAATCCCAAGTTGTCGTGTGCTTGTTGGATTAGTCGCGGATCTATGTCCATCTGGTCTAGGGTGCGCTTGAACAAGACGTCCACAACGCTCCCTCCTTCTATCAGCAGGCGGTGGGTTTTGCACACGGCGATCAACTTTGTTATAGTCAGTGGATCCTCTGACGGGATTCCTTGGGGGGAGCTCTGAGTCATTGAAGCTCATATCGCACTTAGTGGTGGTGTTTGTTGCCGCGCACTCTACTGCTCGGTCGCGCTTTGCCTTCTTTTTTGGTCAATCACCCTCTATTGTGACGACCCCTATCTCTTTGCGAACGATATAAGATTATGTTGCCTCGTTATAGTCTGGTTGTGGAGGCGGTGGTGGGATAACTTGTTGGTCCTTTCGCTCCTCTGACGCATTCCTCCAGGTAACCCCTTCTGATGAGCATTTCTATTTTGACTCGGAGATTGAAGCAATCTTCCTTCATGTGGCCTGATTCACAGTGAAAGTGGCAGTGTTTTCTGTTCGCGCATGTACGCCGCGACTTTCACTGGTGCCGGCCAATTGAGGCGGTACCCCTTTTCCCTGATGAGGTGGAATATGTTCTTTACTGAGTCGTTAAGAGGGGCGAAGCTCGTGAGCGGGCGCTTGTCTTAAGAGCATCTGCGCGGTGCCGGTTTTGGTGGGGCTAGGGGTTGGCCATATCCGCCATGGTACTTCATAAGCGGCTGTTATGGCTCCCGTCGCCTTTGCTCGTCTCTCGGTGGCTTGGTTGGTTAATAGCGGCGGATCGATCCCGCTCCTAGGGTCTCCTCTAAAGTAATGGCTTTCTCGATTTTAGCTTCTAATTCCGAGGATAGTGTGACTGGGCGTTTCAACTCCCCATTGGTGGTGGCTTCCATGAGATGGTGGGCAGCGGTTTCTGGTGTCAGGTCACGTACCGTCATCGCGGTTCTCGACCATCTGGCGTAGAATGCCCGTAGGCTTTCCCCGTCTTTCTATTTTAGGTCGATCAAAGCCTTGTGGTGAAGCGGCCTTCTTTTTTGGGAGGCAAACTTCGTTGTGAACAGTAGTATGAATTCCTCGAAGGTGCGGATGATTCCGTTGGGGAGGCGGTTGTACCAATCTAGGCATATGCCTGCGAACGTGGACGGGAAGATCCTGCATAGTGCCACGTTCGAGTTTGTTTGTAGCTGCATGCGGAGACAGAAGCTACTGAATTGGTCTTCTCGGTTTGTTGCTCCATTGTATGCGAGGAGGGAGGGTGGGATTCCTCTTAGGTGTTCCGCCATAATTTCAAGGCAGAGTGGTTGATGCAGGATCCTTTTAGGCGGAGCACGATACTGTGGGGAGAGGTGTTGTTCCAAGAACGTCAGGTCTATTCTTGCTGCGGATCTTGTTCGCGGGATTATGTAGCCTCTTCTCTGGCTGCTTGTCGATCTGTAGGCGGCGGGAGTGTTATTGCGGGTGGCTCCGATGTTGTCGCGATAGTTTCCTTGTTCATCATTAGGGCGATCACTTGATTCATTTTTTCCTGCATATCCGCGATGACTTCGTTTTGATTAGCCATTTGCTGGCGGATCTCCTTGGCCGTGAGTTCTGGCTAGTGAGGGATCCCCGTGTAAGTCAAAAGATTTAAGTCAAGATTTGAGTTTTAAGAAGGGAGAGTAACTTTAACTCCCGAAGAGTTTTAAGAGTTCAGATTTTTTTAAAATGGAAGTATTTAGAGAAGTATACTAAAGTGCTATAGATTTTAATGTAAGGGCGTAGACTGACCCAAACTCACTCACCAGATCGTAGAGGAGGAGATCACAATCATCCAGTCTGTGACCACAAGGCTAGAGGAGCTCAACACCACCGTCGTCGAGGGATGCCGAGCCAGGCGTCCTAGTAAGCATCGGAGAACTCCTTAATCTCTTAAGACTGGAGATTTGTTTCTTTTGTTTCTTCTAAGAGTACGATTTGAGTTTTGCCGATATGTTTATGGCTTTGCTTTCATATATTAAGATATTTGAGATTGGGTATTTTATTTAAAGTTATGTTATTTGAAATTTTTCAATATACCCCCGGGGTAGAAATGTCTTTTTCCAAGTTTCAAAGTAGTGGGACATTTCATTTTGGTATCTGAGCCGGTCTTCCTCTGTTTCTTGGTTCCCAAGAAATACTGGAATGTCGGTCTCAGTTTTTAAAGGTTTTGTTTTTAAGGAAGGGAAAAAGATTTCAAGTCAAAGTTTGGCCAAACAAGTCAAAGGTTTCTTTTAAGAATTTGGAATATCCAGTCTACTCTAAACCATATTAAGGGAGATATAACTGAGTTCTAATTAGACCCTATGTGTCTACAATGCAACTGTTGGCCAGAATCCAACACCACCTGTGCCACCGCCAATGAGACCTCCACCGCACTATGTGGCTTTCCGGAAGAGAAAGGTGGAAGAATTTAAGGGGGAGCGTTCAAAGGATCCCATGGAAGTAGAACAGTGGCTAGCCAAGGTCATTCGTACGTTGATCAAGATGAGGGCTGATGACGAGGATAAAGTACTACTGATAGTGTCCTTGCTGCAGGACGCTGCATACAACTGGTGGACTACCAACCAACTAGTTGAGAGGATCCACCGTCCATCATCTGGCTAGAGTTCATGCAGCTATTCAGAGATAACTTCATACTGGAGGCCTAATCGGGAAGCAGAGGGAATTTTTGTTGATAAGGCAGAAGTGGGTTAGCGAAGGCAGGGAGAGCGTGGCTGATTACACGACCAGGTTTGATAAACTACTTACTTATGGAGGGCCTCAATTTCAGGATGCAGCGGCTCAATGAACCTGTTACGTGGAGCGCCTGAAGCCTGCTTTTAGGCGCCAACTAAGTACACTGAATTGGAACAACAGGGAGGAGATCTATAGGAAACTCTTCAGTTAGAGAGGGCAGATACAACTCTGCATGAGGAGGGGATTCAACAAGAAGGAAACAAGAGAAAGGATGCTAGCCTGTCTGAGTGGCCAGGACAACCGAGTCAGCAGAGAAGGAGACCATCCCAGAGCTACTATGGGCATAGGGCCATCGAGAGTCAGGCCGGCTCAAAGAACTCCCCCGGGAGAGTGGAAGGTGCACCTAGGGGGAATTTGCTATCATTCCAATAAGCCAGAGCACTATGCTAGATATTTCCCTAGGAAAGGAGGACAAGGGAGAACCCAATCCGAACAGTCAGTTCGAGGCGGGAGAGGAAGAACCCAGACCGGGCAGCAATTAGGCAACCAACCGAATTGGTCGTTCCAACCATAGGGAGGCAACGCAGGGCGGTTTAACCACAATAAGCAAGATCGAGGGCAAGGATCTCAAGCATCTGGGCAACCAAGACTGTTTGCCATAAGGAGGGAAGAAGCTAACGTTGCACCTGATGTGGTGACTGGTATGATCTCACTTTACCATCAGCCAACTTTCGTATTGTTTGATTCCGGTTCCATGCACTCTTCCATTTCTACCAAGTTTGCTAAAACCTTAGGAATCCTATTTGTGAGTTTGGGGCAAAATTTAGGGCTAAGAAACCCAGTGGGGGATACCCTTATAGTAGACTTGGTCGTTCGGGGTTGCCTTATCACCGTGCCGAGGCACGAATTTGAGGCAAACTTGATTCTACTACCCTTCGACGAGTTCGATATTATCTTGGGTATGGATTGGCTGTCAAAGAAAAGAGCAAAGGTATACTGCTATAAGAAGGAGGTCAGCTTGGAGATAGAAGGAAAGGGCACTACAGTATTCAAGGGCACTATGAAGCTCATTCCCGGATGCCTAATCTCCGTGGTTAAGGCATTCTCGTTGATTCAAGAAGGGGCATTCTGGTTGTTTCAAGAAGGATGTGAAGCTTATTAACTCATATCAAGGAAGTACAGGAGAAGAAGATAGGGGATGTACCTGTCGTAAGGGAACACCCCGAGGTGTTCCCCAAAAATCTTCCTAGACTATTGCCGCATCGGGAGGTTGAATTCGATATTGAAGTGATTCCTGGCACGACACCGATATATATTCCTCCTTACCGTATGGCACCAGTGGAGTTAGAGGAGTTGAAGGAGCTGTTGCAGAAGCTGTTGGAGAAGGGCCTTATTCTAACGAGTGTATCACCATATGGAGCACCAGTGTTGTTCGTGAAGAAGAAGGATTGCAGTATGAGACTTTGCATTGACTATAGGAAGCTGAACAAGGTTACCATTAAGAACCACTATCATTTTCCAAGGGTAGATGATCTCTTCGACCAGCTACAAGGAGCAAGGAGTCCCACTTAGCATCGTGTCTGATCGCGACCCTAGCTTCACGACACTATTCTGGGTGAGTCTTCAAAAGGCTATGGGCACTAAAGTTCACTTCTCCACCGCATACCATCCTCAGACTGATGGACAGTCAGAGAGGACCATTCAGAAACTCGAAAATCTGCTAAGGACATGTGTCTTGACGATGGAAGGAGCTTGGGATGAGCATTTACCTCTAATGGATTTTGCTTACAATAACCAGTATCACAGCTCGATACAAGAAGCTCCATATGAGGTTCTGTATGGGAGGAAGAAATGTAGTCAAAATCGCGCTTTAAAACTTAAAAACTTAGGTTTTAAGTTTCTAGATCACTAAAACGCTTATACAAAAAATCTAAGTTTTTATAACTTATGTAGTTAAAAACTCCGCTTTAAAACTTAAAAACTTAAGATTTTACCCTTCTAGATGACCAAAATGTTTCTATGTAGAAACTCTCTTTTGAATACTTTGGGAGGAAGTTTCGTACACCACTGTACTGGGATGCAGAAGGAGTTCGACAGCTAGAGGGTCCAGAGATGGTACAAAAGGCAGTAGAGAAGGTGGATACAATTCGCCAGAACTTGAAGGTGGCTTAGGACCGATAGAAGACTAATGCTGAAAGGTTAGGAAACCCACACAATCATGAAGTGGATGATATGGTGTTTCTGAGGGTATCTTCTTGGAGGGGAGTGATGAGATTTGGAAAGAAGGGAAAGCATGTTCTGAGGTATATCAGGCCATACGAGGTGCTGGAGTGCATGGGACCCATATCCTATCAAATGGCCTTACCTCCTAGCCGTTCTAGGATTCACGACATTTTCCATGTCAGCATGCTAAGGGCGTATTGGTCCAACCCGGAGCATGTGATCAGGCATGATGACATCCAGTTGGAGGAGGATAGGTAGGAAAAGGAGTTGAGGAGGAAGAAGATTGGCATGGTAAAGGTGGTATGGAGGAACCAGGGTAGCGAGGCTACTACTTGGGAGACAGAGAGTAGCATGAGAGAGAAGTAACTAGAGTTGTTTAATGGTGTTTAGATCAGTAGTTGGTGAATTTCTATGTACTTTCATATTTAGTTCTCATTTCTCGGTATTTCAATAATAAGACCTCGTGGTTGAGCCCGCTTCCACACAACTGACAACCCATTTCAATCTACAATTTCGAGGTCGAAATTTCTTAAGGGGGAGGGAAATATCATATCCCAACTAGCGTCATCCCTTAAAAAACAACGTTACGTCAAACAAGCGATTGTAATACAGTTCAAATTCCAGGGACGAAATTTTATTTAATAGTGGAGGAAAGGTAACACCGCTGTATTTTAGATTTCGCTTCGACCATAATAAATGATCGAATGGATTGACGGTGACGTACGAAAGGTTGCAACCACAGATTAGAAATAATAATAATAATAATAATAATAATAATAACTATTATTATTATAGTATTATATACAAAATTAATGAGACAAGGGTCCAGCGGCCTTATATATATATGCTTAGCTATTCCCCAGCCTCCATCGCAGCAGAAATAAACCACCCATTCTCCGTACACTCTCCCCACCACAATCAACCCTAGACCTCAAATAACCCCCACCCCAACCCACTCTTCGCGTCACAAGCAACATCGGGCTCTCTCTTTTCTCCTGCAAGGCAGCACAAGGAGGAAGAAGAAGTGAGAGGGCGCTCTCCCTTCCCGCAATTGCAGCGACCTGCCTCCACGCAAACCGCCTGCAACGGGAAGTAACGGAGGCTCGACACAACCATCATCGCCTACTCTTGACGTTGCGGTGGTAAGACTCCCGAGACTCCTTTGTCTCCTAAGGTCGTTTTCAAGCTTCGACTAGCCAACTAATCCAACGAACACGCGTGGTGATCGTAGCTCCGTCAACGACTCCGGCGTAGTCGAATTCAACCAAACTCCAAAACCTTCACAACATCGCGTAGAGAACAATCTCAGAAGCATCCCGGTCTTGACAGAATCGAATTCCGACTTCAGACAAGGGAGATAACTAGCAACTCTGAAAGTGGGGGACGACAATATGATTGTTTAGGTACAAATTTCGTAAATTCGAAAAGTATAAGTATGATACCAATAGTTCTGTTTTAGTCTGCGAGCAAATATCCAGACTGGTCCCCCATGTTCCCGGTGCTAGCAGCTTAGTCCCCTGCTTTTTAAAATTTTACAATTGGTCAAAAATATTATTTTCTCAAGATTATTATTGTTTTTATTGTTGTACAGTATGTATTTTTGTGTTATAATAATTCTATAAATAGGAGAAAATCAATAGGAGGTTTTGATATTAATTTGGGAATATTTGGAGCTGTCTAATTATAAAAATAGTTAGAAAGACAGGTTTAGTAAAACAAAATATTATGTGAACGATTTTGTCCCATTTGATAATTTTAGTCGAAGACATATACTTCTGTGTTTATCCAAAAATTATTTGTTATAAAATCAAGAAAAGGAGTTTTAAACGACTGTAGAATAGATTTAAAATTCATTAAGGTTGTAATTAAATAACAAGGTGTTAGTTAAGATGTAAATTATAGTTAATAATTTTTGGATTATGTTTTGAGTTATTCCGAGTCAGAATATGGAACTTTTAAGAAGAAATATTTTTTGGAAATTTATGAGATTTATATTAATGAAATTTTGAGTTAATAGTATTAATTCAAGTCTTGGAAAATTTTGAAAAATTCCAGTTATTGAAAAAATTATTTAAAGAGGTTCAAGGCCCTTTTTAAAGAATTTTCAGATTAAGCTAGGAGGACAGAAAATTTTATGAAATACCGACTAAGGGTAATTAATCTCGATTTATAAGATTAAAGAAGCGATCAAGTCAAGGAACACAGCGTCCGACGAATTAAAGTATCGGCACTTGACAAGTGAGTGTAAAGGTGGTAAATTCTACGCCTTACGGTTTTAAGTTTTGAGATTGATTGCTATGTGCTATATCTTCTTATGCATGTTCATATGTGATGCATGCCATTACGTGTGAGTTTTATTTCCAGTTATACGATTTATTGCCTGCTTTACTTACAACTAAGTTTAAGAAACAAGTTCCTTTTTAAGGAGTACTTCACCTTCAAAGAAGGTGAAATAGTTCTAAATGTTTTTAGTCACTAGTACTAGTCTGTTGCCATTGAGATTTTGAGATAGAGTAGTAGTATGCTTTTGAGACTTTTAAGAGGAGTAGCAGTTATGCTCTAGAGACATTTAAGATGAGCAGCAGTTATGCGCTTGAGAATCGTGGAAGAAGAGCCTTCCAGGATAAGTATAAGTTTAAGGAAAGCTTGGACAGACTCTCATACGTATGAGTTGGGGAACCAGACTAGCTAGTGAGGGATCCCCGTGTCAGTCAAAAGATTTAAGTCAATATTTGAGCTTTAAGAAGGGAGAGTAACTTTAACTTCCGAAGAGTTTTAAGAGTTAAGATTTTTAAAAAAATGGAAGTACAAGCAACTCCCACTAGTCGAAGTTAAATATTTTGAGAAGTATACTGAAGGGCTATAGATTTTAACGTAAGGGCGTAGACTGACCCCAACTCACTCACTATATCGTAGAGGAGGAGATCGCAATCAACCAGTTCGTGACCTCCAGACTAGAGGAGCTCAACACCACCGTCCACCGTCGCCGAGGGATGTCTAGCCAAGCGTCAGAGTAAGCATCGGAGAACTCCGTAAGCTATTAAGACTTTGTGGTTATGAGTTTATGACTAGAGATTCGTTTCTTTTGTTTCTTCTAAGAGTACGATTTGAGTTTTGCCCACATGTTTAGGGCTTTTCTTTGAGATATTAAGATATTTGAGATTGAGTATTTTATTTTAAATTATGTTATTTGAAATTTTTAAATATACTCCGGGGTAGAATTATATTTTCCAAGTTTCAAAGTAGTGGGATGTTTCACTTCTCATGGCATGGACTTTTGATATGCATCCACGCCATGCACTTATATCACATCATGGACCATGTGAATCATGGTCGAGAATTCTTCCTCAGATCCATAGTCCGTCTTGTGACACGATCATGGACCTCTAGATGGCCATGGCCCTTCCAGACATAGTTATTTATACGCAACTTAAGGGCTATAGTTTATTATTCTTGTTGCATGACATGACTTCCTACGAGATGACCATTTTCTTCATTAACTCATATCTATGCTCACAAAGGAATTAATGACTTGGACTTAAAAGTCAAAAGTCATGAGGCACAACTCAAATAACATTAATTGTTTTAATTGATGTGGACTTATAAGATCATTGTGGTACAATATATTTTTTTGAGTGTAAACAAATGATCTCCAACTACTCAGTGCATAAGAATTATGAATAAAGTAGTTTGAACACCACTGTGCTAGCCAAAGTAACAAGTTGGCTTATCAACACAATGATGACGTGTCTCATATGACCGTGACATCTTTCGCAAGGACCTCAATCTAAACAACACAATGATGGTGATCAAGCTGACAAAGATGACGTGTCTCATATGACCGCGCAACGCGCTCTCGAGCATTATGCATCGATGGCCGTCAAGTCTATAAAACTGATCGAGGAGAAGTGCTCCTGTGATAGTGAAACTGGTACAAGAGCAATATGACCTCTCACTAGAATAGAGAAACAATTTGTTGTCGTAGCAAAGGAGGTGCAAGCACTCAAAATGAGTCGAAACACCCATGTTCGCAACTCTTCGTTTGCGAGTGATGCGGAGAGGTTGGTCGTGTCTCATTAAACCAATTTTCAGCCAGGGTCAGGTGCAAGTCATGCCAAATTTGTGCCCTACTATTTTAAGGGGTCGTTTGAATGGATCAGTTGAGAAATGAGACAATTTAGCCAATTGTCTTGTTTTACAAAATGAGTTATTTCAACCGAGTCAATTTGAATTACCTAACCCCACCCCAGACAATTGTAATTGCCTCAAAACGAGTCAGTTCAAAATTCCCTAGGTCAAATTACTTCTTTCAAATTTTATGCTGCTAAACGAGTCAATCTGGCTCAATTGTCTCAAAACGAGACAATTGTGTCAGATTGATCCATTAGAATTCCTCATCCAAGTGACCGCTAAGTGATTTCAATGATCTCAAATATTGTCGTATTAGTTAATAATAATAATAATACTAATATTGATTAATTTTTTATTTTTACAATATTATTTGGTTCGAAAAAAATAATTTGTGGTCCCCAAATTGTAAATCCTGACTTCACCCCTATATATGGTCGATGTTATACAATTTTCTAGCCGAAAGTGGATCTAAGCCCGCGTAAAATCCAGATCCAATACTTATTAGCCGTGGGGAGCGGATAGCATTCATAACAATTCATAATAAAAAAATTACCATTTACAAAAGCTAACTAACTTTCCCCCAATTAATTTTAACTGGTTATAGCTCTTTTGTTTTGAGTCCTAATTTTATTCACATATAAATCGGATTAATGCATGATGCTCTTCAAAATGACCATCAACGTTGACATCTTTTAGAACAAAAAAGTAGACTTTTATTACTAGCCTATTCCATGAGGTAATGCTTGGTATTATATAAGATTATATCACGTTGTATGGAAGTGTACCATTGTGGTATGAACATAGCATATTGTAGAATTGGTGCATATATACATTATAGTAGGAATATACTAACCGTCATTTAGCATCTTTCATCAACATATATCACGAGCTACCACCCTATACGAGGGTGGTATATTTGGCCCTGAAAATATTTTTACAAAAATTTGTAGATCCAATATATTATAATGAACTCGTTCCAAGTGATAGTAGGTGGTACCAGGGTGGTAACGAGTGGTATTGGTGGTATGAATTTTTTTTTTCAAAATATATTGACATGTATATAATTTTGTAGATCACAAAAAACCCGTTCCATTTGTGCAATTTTTTTTTAAATTCAAATTAAAGCAAAGAAAATAAAAGTTGATTTAAAAAATAAGAAAAATAAATAAAATCCTTCAATCTCATTCTTAAATCTGACCCCATTTTTAAAAGGGTTAATAGCATTTTGTACCCATCTATTATGATAAATTAACAAACGTACCTTTTATAAAAATTTGGCAGATACCCTTCTAATATTAAAAGGTAACGAATTTACCCTTCTATCCAATTATCTGTTAAGTGACTGTTAAATGAGCTGTGAAATGATTCGATTGCCCCTCATTTACTCTTAAACACTCATAATTTAGATTTTAGTTATTTTATATCTCAAATCAGTTAATTAAAAAATCAAACCCTAAACTAATTTACACACACTCGACATAAACCCTCCATCTCCCCTTGCGATTAGTCCCTGCAGCGGCGGCGGCGCCTACTCCCGCCACTCTCACCAGGCTGCTATTCAATATATGAGATGCGTCGTTTAGAAAACTAAAGGGAGCGATCCCTTCCGAAAGACTGAGGCTAATATGGTGGTGGTCGACATAGGCGACTAAGACAACGACGAGGAAAATCGACATTCGATTGGAGGTTCCGGTCAAGGGAAAGAGATGAAAGTAAATCGGCGGCGGCGGATCAATGGATGCTGATACTGACGCCGAGGGAGACGGGCATTTCTGCACTCGGGACTCAGGAGACAGGAGGTCGCCGGCCAGCGAAATCCTCCGGCGTCACCAAAAACGAAGGAGGGAGACTCAGAACCGACGGTTAGAATGGTATGTTTGAACAAAAATTTAGTAGACGGGTATGTTGGTTAATTTAGCATAGTAAAAGGGTACAAAATGCTATTAACCCTTTTTAAAATTAACAATCTAAATATTTTTATACATGAGTTATGCATCTAAAATTATCGACTCTATCTTACACCTGGAGAAATTTTACAATGCTATATAGTATTTGTGCTATAGATTTTTGCTTTTATGGTACAACTTAAAATTGTACATTTACGTTATGGTGCAACTTCAGATTGTACCTATACTTTTGGTACAAATTCTTTTATGGTACAACTTGAACTTGTACCTTTATGTGATGATAGAACTTCAAGTTGTAAAGTTGTACCATAACATAATGGTACAAATTACTTTATGGTACAACCTAAACTTAAACATTTAATATTATGGTACAACTTTAAATTGTACATTAAAGCACCAATGCTATATAGCATAGTAGAAGTGCTATCTCCACCTGAGCTGTGGCGAAAAGAAAGAAGAAAGGGAAGAGCTCTCAAACAAGAGAATTAGATACGCGCAAGAAAACAATTCTATATTGCAACGGATTTCTTAATGGGATGGAGTATCAACTATCATGCATGTAGCTTAGATGGTGGACTCGTGGTAGTATATTTAACTTTAATCATTATCTTCCCACTCTGGACATTATCGCTTCGTTGAGTTCTTTCATTTCTTGATTCTTTCCATCTACGGGGAGTCAATTCGTGATGATTACATTGGCGACTTCCATGGCGACGCTTCTAATCTGGGATCTATAGCATCCTTATCTTGGGTTGGCTTCCACAAATACACATGTCATTCTATCATCTCTTATAAATTGGGTCAAGGCTTAGTCAATCATATGTTCTTTGAACAATACTTTTTTTCTGTGAAAATGTGTACAAAACATCCCTACCTCTTCAAATTAATAAGATGGATCGGATCACAAATGTGATGTTGCATAAAGTCATACATTATCCAGGTGGCGTAGCTAGAATATTTGGTTAGGTGGGTCTCAAATGTTAAGGAACTGTATGATAACATAATTTATATTATCTATCATTATCACCCGCGAAGTAATCTTAATTATTGTGGCATTTTTAATATGTTGTTATCATGCAAACAATTACTAAACAACTAGTTCTATTCTATTCTACCTATATATAAAAGCAGGGTTCCAATCCTCAGAAGGCCTTATACGCGGGTCGGATACTATGCTAACCTCTAAAGGGTAGTGATTTTCGACACCCTCCTTTTGATTGGTCAGTTTTATACTTAATTATTAGACAAGTATTAATGGCTGTCCCAAATAAATATGGATGGAGAAAGGATTAACTGTCATATTAATTATGCACGGGAAGTGGACAATTTAGCTGGATCCCTGGATGGAAATTGTGGCGTTTCTACTCCCTTTCCCTTTGTTTCTATTTCCCCCCTCCCTCCTCTGCTATTTCCCCTTGTTTCTTTCCATTGCCGTGGAGAACCATAGCTCTGGTTCATCACTACACGGCTGGCGGATATCCCCGCCGCCCTTACAACAAGTCCAACCACCCATGTCGTCGGCCGTCTGCCGTCCTCCGTCTTCCATCCCAAACATCACATTCCAACAACTTCCTCTTATCCACGGCATGCGATTGATCTTTTCCTGTTGACCACCGTCCTTCCACGGTAGAGATTCGATCAACCCTAAGTGGCGGCGACAGAATCTGAAGGTGAGGGTGGTACCACTAGGCGGCAGAGGAAACACACGAATGGACTGGTACGTGTCGCTACAAAAAAACTGGGTTATAGCGACGAAAATTTGAGCGACGGAAAGGTTTTCGTAACTAAAAGTGTGGTTTCCGCGACGAAATATTAATTTTCGTCGCTGGTTGTCTCTATTTAATTACATAGGCCATTCGATGGATTTGGCGACGAAATTTAAGTTTTAGCGACGAGTCTTTTGTCGCAGAAAGTGTGAAAGATTTCGCGACGACTTAACTTCGTCGCAGACTCAAGATGTATCTAAACGAAGACGTTTGTCTGTTTATATGTACAGTTCGGGCCTGAGTTTGAAACAAATTTTTTTGGGTCAAAGCCTGCTCCAAACGGTGTCGTTTGGGATTTTTTTGGGACACTCGGCCACTTCAAAACTTCCAAGTCTTCATTGAGCTTTCACCCAAATCAAACCATCGAAGGAAAAACCCTAGCATAGAAACATGCCTTATCCCAAATCCCGCCGCTCTTTGCCGTCTCTACCATCCTCAAAGCTCGAAGCTGTCGTAGCCAGTGCTTGAAGGATGAGATCGGTTGTCGTAGCCTGTGCTTGAAGATAGATTTTCCCATCTCCGAGATCGACCCTTGCAGCCGGCGTTTGAATCTCCCCTCTTCGAGATCGATTGTTGCAGTCGACTTTCGAAGGATAGACCTTCTTTGATCAAAAGGATATCTCGCATGTCCAGTTTGTAATAAGGATTCCCTTGGACAAAAGTTGAAAAGCAAAATAGGATATTTTGGTCATCGACGATTTCTGCCCATTCAACATAGGTGGAGAAGAGATAAGAAGTTCAATGGACATCGTGAAAGGCGACCCCCTCCTTCATTCTTGTCAGGTGATGATGTGATGTCACAATTGAGGCATGTGATAGAGAGACTTCCTGGAAAGCATCCTAGTATACTCAATAAAAGGAAACGGCCTTCAGAGGACTTGAATTGGGTCAAAAAGAGTATTTTTTTTACTTTTCCTTATTGGAGGGCGTTAAAATTGAGGCACAACTTGGATGTCATGCATATTGAAAAAAACATTTGTAACAACGTGGTTGGGACTTTGTTGAATATGCCAGGCAAGACAAAAGATACTGTCAAGCAATGTTCAAGAAGACGCTAGACGCTATCTAGGCTAAGAGGTACCGCCCAACGCCCAGGCCGATTAGTCGTTGCCTAGGCGAGATTAAACGTTGAAAAAAAATATGATAGATAAGCCTTATTCTACAAAAACCCAAGTCACCATATCATTATTCATCCATTCATATACACATACAACCCTTTTCCACAATCCCAAACATCCCAAGTCGCCAACCATGAGGAGGGATCTCACTGTTGGTCGATGAGGGGGAGCGGTTGGTCGAATGGAAATGAGAAATATAATAGGGTTTGGGATTTTCCAAAAAAAGCTACACTTTCCCTCTTTATTAGTTGTTTTGGGCGTCGCCCACCAGAGTGAAAACGCGTCTCCGAGTGCCTAGGTGCCTAGATCAATCGCACAGGGCTAGACGGGGCGATTTCCTCCTGCCCAGCTATTAATCGCGCCTAGGCGAGAGATTAATCGCGTCTTCTTGAACACCACTGTCAAGGCTAGACAAGATTTGGAAAATATGAGGATAAGGAATGAGTTGCATCTCATAGAGAGATCTGATGGGAAATATGAGATGCCAATTGCTTGTTACACCATGACAAAGGAAGAACGTAGGGACTTTTGTCAATTCCTAAAGAAAGTTAAATTCCCTGATGCGTATGCTTCTAACATCTCTCGATGTGCAAATGTCACTGAAGGAAAAGTGATAGGCTTAAAAAGCCACGACTGTCATGTCTTGCTTCAACGGTTGTTGCCTATCGGTGTTCGGGGAAGTATAGATCAACGTGTCGCAAGTGTATTGTCTGAGCTAGGTGATTTTTTTCATCGTTTATGCTGCAAGACTGTGTGTGAAGATGCATTAGGAAAGTTACAAGAAGACATCATCATTATTCTATGCAAGTTGGAAATGATTTATCCCTCGGCTTATTTCGATGTAATGGTACATCTGGCGATCCACCTACCAAATGAAGTAAAGCTTGGTGGTCCTGTTAAATATCGATGGATGTACCCAATTGAAAGGTGTGACTAATTTCTGTGATCTAATTAGTCAATTATGGATTAAGTCTTTGCATATACAGTCTAATATTTCTTGGGAATGTTTGTTAGGTATCTAAACACTTTGAAAGGATTTGTTCGAAATAGAGCTCGGCCTGAAGGTTCTATCGCCGAGTCATATATTGTCGATGAATGCCTTACATTTTGTTCAATGTATCTTGATGGAGTGGAGACTCAATTCAATGAACATGAGAGAAACTTTGATAACGAGGTAGATGGAAATTTATCAGTTTTCTCAAGTAATGCACGACCACTAAGTGGGGGAGATACTATCTCAATGTCAGCGCATGAATTGGATATGGCTCATTGGTATGTGTTGAGTAATGCCGAAGAGGTTATACCATACTTGGAGTAAGTTAAATATCCATTCAAATCTCATTTAGATGTAAAATATCTTTAATTATCTCACATATGGCTGCTGGTATTAGGGAACATCTAAATTCTATTAATGTCGATGATATTGGAAGAAAACAAGAGTTGCACTGAAGGCAATTTCCAAGTTGGTTTAAAACAAAGGTGAACCAATGTGAATGTAAAATGCGCTGTGAGTGAATATGAACGCCAATTATAGAAATCAATTTTTAATTAACTATTTCTTAATCATTTGTAGATAAATAATGCATTGGGTACCAATAAGGATGAGCAGATGTTGGCATTACACTCGCTATCTTGTGGACCAGTACCTGGTCCTGTTAGTTATACGAGATGCATTGTCAATGGGGTTCGATTTCATACCAAGGATCGAGAAAGTCGCCGTAACACTCAGAATAGTGGCATTGTTGTTGAGGGAAACCATCTTGACGATGTTATCGACTTTTATGGGGTTCTCGTGGATATTATTCGATTGGATTATGTTAGAGACAAACATGTCCTTCTATTCAAGTGCGAGTGGTTCGATGTGGACAAACGAAAGGCAAGAATAGTGGACCGTCTTTGGTATTCCGCAGATCCATATGTTCTTGCTAATCAAGCCAAGCAAGTATTTTACATCAACGATCCAAAGTTGGGGTTAAATTGGCGAGTTGTCCAACGATTCAACCATCGTCATATATTTAGTGAAGATATTGACGTTACCAATATTTTGGATGATCCCGAGATGGTACATGAAGATGATGCCTACCAAGATGAGGAATTAACAAATATACAATCTACTGTCTTGAATGTTGATGGTGATGGTGTCAGGGCATTGCATAGAGAGGGTGTTATAGCTGAGGTGGTTTGATCGAGTGGTTGTAGAAGGGAATATAAGAGTTGAATCGCATCAGGTTGAAGAAGAGCAAGAATCTGACCATCTTAGTGACGATGAAGACGAGCTGGATTTGTTGTCATCTGGGTCCCAAGATGAAGATGAAATATCCTTGCATTCTGTTAGCGATGATGAAATTGCAAATTGAATATTAGTAGATAACATTATGGAACCTGACAGTAAACTAGTTTATGTGTTTGATGTTGTTACGTCATTTCTTATTTTTCTACACTTCAACTATGAACTCTGATTAGTTATATGGAAGTGTTTATGTGTTTGCAATTGTGCACTTTAATTTGTTCTGTGAAAGTGTTTCATCTGTGCATTTTAATAATTTTCTTATAAGCTCATAGTTAAGTATACCACTTAATTGTACATTACTTTTCCCCCAGATATTATATATAGAAGCCCTGTTGGGTTTTATTTCACTACCTAGTCCATATTTCCCAAGACATGTGATTAAGTTAAATGGTGTACCTTTTATTTCAGGTTAAGAAATGGCACCTGGTCCGGCCAAAACAAAGAAAAGACAAATCTCAAGTGGTTTCATGCCTAAGAGAAACTCTGTATTAGATGCTCCCATAGCTCCACCAAAGTCAACAACTTCCTCAAGTTCGATCAAAGGTGAGTTGTAAATAAAATGTTAATTATATATGGTGTGAATAAACTAAGAATCCTCCTTACATCTAAATCGGGTCTTTAGTTCAAAATGAAATAATTTCTTTTGCAGGATATAAGGGAATAGGTGGTACTTTCCAAACTAATGAGAAACCAACACATCGTCTACAAGCATTGATGCAAGCTCGCACAGATATAAAAAAGGAGTTGCTAGCTGCAGGTAAGGAGCCACCATCAAAAACTCCAAGACCGTCTACTCAAGGTGATGATTTTGGTACAAGGTTTACAAGATTCATATGAGTACAATCTAATAGCCACAAAGTTTTTTCATGCTTCTGTTCACCCTAATGGACTTCATTTCTCTTTTTCTCCAGGTAAGGAACCACCATCAAAAACTCCAGGACCGTCAACTCAAGGAGATCATTTTGATACAAAGTTAATGGGATTTAGATGAGTACAATCTAATACCCACAAAGTTGTTTCATGCTTTTGTTCACCACAATGGACTTCATTTCTCTTTTGCTGCAGGTAAGGAGCCACCATCAAAAACTCCAGGACCGTCAACTCAAGGGGTTGATTTTGATACAAAGTTTATGGGATTTAGATGAGGTCAGTCTAGTAGCCACAAAGCTGTTTCATGCTTCTATTCACCCTAATGGACTTCATTTCTCTTTTGGTACAGGTAAGGAGCCACCATCAAAAACTCCAGGACCGTCAACTCAAGGTGATGATTTTGATACAAAGTTTATGAGATTTAGATGAGTACAATCTAAATATAATGTCCCCAAAGCTGTTTGGTGCTTCTATTCACCCAATGGGTTCCATTTCTATTTTGCTGCCATTTTTTTCTTAATTATATTCCAGCTCCCGACTCAGGCGTGAGCTCAAGAACTCTAGAACCTCCTTTGTCAAGTGCTCCTGTTGGTGATCAACCGAAAAATGAAAATACTTCTGATCCCTGTGAGACAGCTTTTGAAGAAAATATCCTGCAACAAACAGATGCAAGTAAGTTATCATTTGTTGGTGAAAAAATCACTATCTGTTTAAGGCCACCATGCACGTTCAGCTTCTTTTTAATTAATTAAATTAAATATGAAGGTGGTGAGACTACACAAAACAAGAAGCCAGTAAGAGGACACTCACGTGGGGTTGAGTTGAACAAGGAAATTGAGAGGACTGGAAAGAAGCGAGAAGTGGCGATCCATCCAGTCTTTGGCCGGCCAGTGACTAGACTAGAATCTTCTGCTTTAGGGTCTTCTCTTGGCAATATTGCTCATCTATTTTTCTGGCCAATTAATAAGAATCGTGACAAGGATCGTATACTGGATGAGGGCATATTGATGTTAGAGGTAATTGATATAAAATTGTAATTTTTCAAGTGGTTTCTTTCTCTAAACTCAAGTTGATATTTCATATATTTTATGCTAGGTGAAACTGAACTTGGGAGACATAAGAGAAAATGGAGTGGAGATGGAAAAGCTTTGGGGTCTCTTTCAGAATGCTGTGAGAAGAAGAAGGGCAAACACAAAAAGAGATTTCTATACTAACAAAGCTCATCCTAGGCAAAATAAGCCCCCTTATTTAAGTCAAGAAAAATGGGATGACTTGTGTGATCATTGGGGCACCGAAAAAGTTCAGGTATGAATCATCTTTTAATGTTTTTCCGAGCATAGTTTCTATTGAGTTTTTGTCATGATCTTAATCATCACTTTGGTTTATATTCCTGGAACAATATGTATGAGTTGTATTGGGACAATCTGTACAAAGTTTCCATTTAGTTTCTAAAAAGGTTTTATCATTATTTTAGTCGATGTTACTGGAATAGCCTATTGAGTTTCTATATCAAGATTCGTGAACAACCTGTATTGGACAGCTTGTGCTGCTAAATCCTTTTCTGTATCATATATTGTTTTAGTTTGAGGAAATGATTTGGAATCTTCTGTATGAGCTGGACATCTTGCTGATGAAACAATTTTAAAGATAGATATGATTTGAACCAACAGCTTATATTACTCCTGCTGCTACTGCTTTCCTAATATTGCAAATTGCACCATCAATTCAATTAGTTGTTACTGTTTCATAGGGAATTGCTGAAGAAAACACGTCAAATCGAGGCCAAGTGGTAAATCTAAACACTCAAGGAAGTGTAGCCTATGTTTGTTTGTACGAAGAGCAGGTGAGCTACTTACTAATGCATTTAGTATATTTTATGTTATGACCCATTTCAAAAGCAAAAAATAGTTGTTGTAAAAAAAAGCATAAAATAGTTTCATATATCTTGTTTTCTAATTATAAAACTTCCTTACTCAAATAGAAATCAAAAGCAGAAAACGGTGCCATGTCCAAAATGGAATTCTACAAGTGGCAGGATACCAAAGACACTAGAGAATGGAGAACCCCAAGTAAAAATGAGAATTATGTATGTCTGTTTTTTTTATTAGATATCTCATCTTCTGTCTCATTATTAGTTTCTTTAGATTGCTGATGTTAGGGCAGAATGTGGTTGTGGGTCCTGTGATTTCATTTCGTGAGTTTGTTGATACTATTGAATTGTTGAACTTTAGCATATTTCCCTGGTCACGAGGAGTATATACATCACATATATTTGAGTTTGATATTGTGAAAGAGACATGGAATGAAATAGGAAGAAGAGGCTTATGTGGGTTCGGTTTGTTATTGTAGTGTTGGGCTAATTAGCTTACACGTGTTTGCATGAAACTATAGCAACTTGTTTGAATTGTTAATCTGTAACCTTTCTTGTTGTTGGCAATTAATAAAAATAGAGCTGCTTGTTTGGAGTATTGTTTTTGTGTTGGGTTAATTAGCTTACACGTGTGGAGTATTATTTTAGTCTTGGGCTAATTGTTATGGTCATTTATTCATTACTTTGCATATTTCAGTTCATTACTTGTTCTAAGTTTGTATCCATTCTTCGTCACTATGTTTTGTGTAGGAAAAGATGCAATTCCTTGTGGAAAGTACTCGAGACACTAAGGATCCTATATCGGAAGATGAAGCTTTTCATATGATTTTAGGCTACAAATCAGGATACTGCCATGGACTTGGAATTGGCCAATCCCCACCTAAGAAAAGAAGTCGTGCGGCCCTTGATTATGCACAATTTACACAAGTATTGAAGGAAAACGAACAGTTGTTAGCAGACAAAGAGTTACTTCAAGAAAGGTGTACAAATCTTGAGGGTAAAGTCATTGAATTGGATGAAAAGCAAACTGTGGCTGACTTACAGATATCAAGGTTTGAGAAGATAGCAAATTACATCAAAGACAAAAATATCTTTGGGGACCTAGACCTCTGGTAAGAGTTTTATTCATGTATTATGCCATTGTTTGTGTTTTGATAGATAAGGTGTATTATTTGGATGGATAATTAGTGTTATGTGAAATCTTGACAAAGTTGAAACTATATGACAAGTCTTCGTATATTCTGTTATTTTTTCTCTTTTGACAGTTAAGGTGCATGTATTCATATATTTAACCATTTATCCTTTTGATCTTAGAATTAGAATTTAATTTAACATCATTATGTCATTGTGCATTCATCATTGACATTCTTATTTATGTTAAACATATATATAACCAGCAGCACTAGTATCTAGTACCAGTGATGACAAGTCTTAAGATATAAGAATTTGCTGAGATTTTTAACCTTCTAGCTAGGTACATATTAGTTGTCAGTAATAGTTATGTCATGATTTTATTTTTGTGCAGACTTGATCAACTTCAGTAGGACCGCCTGTTGGGGATCTTTTGGCATGAACCAGCAATGACCAGCGGTTCTGGTATCTTTTGGCATGGACCAGCAATGACCAGCAGTTCTGGTATATTTTGGCATGGACCAGCAATTGGGTTATATATTTTGGCATGAAATGCTATCGTACAATATTAGTGTATAGTTCTAGCCTCCTAGGTACAGAACTACTTGAGCATGAACTATGAATGTTTTACTATCTAATTAGGTGTAGCTGTATATAGCTACTTTTCGAAACATTGTAAATGTCGTAGTTGGAAACAAGTTCGGGTAATGATCAATTATGTTCGAGGATGTTGATATTAATGACATTATTATATTATTGTTCATCCTATGAAGAAGAGTTCAGTTATTTTTATGTTTATATGTGAATTTGCATTTTGAAAAGAAAGCAGGGCACAACAAATAATCACAAATAAAGCCTAGCAGGCAAACCCTTTTTTTTTTCAACGGATGTTTTCATCGCAAAAAGTCTAGGATCGTATTTGTACGAGTTAATGGTGACGACAAAATTCGTCGCAAGAAAATGTCGGCGACGAACATGTCGTCGCTGAAGCACAAACCCAGCGACGAATATTGCGTCGCAGAATCATGTATTTGGCGATGAAAGTTTCATCGTTTCACCATGTATTTGGCGACGAGTAATTCGTCGCAGGCCCATGCATTCAGCGACAAATATGTCGTCGCTAATCATTTTGATATGAAGATAATTTCGTCGCAGACGGATATTCTACGACGAAACCCTTCGTCGCTAAATCACTGTTCTGCGACGAAAACAGAAGTCGTCGCCCATGCTAATGCTTCAGCGACGAACAATGTCGTCGCCAATTGTTCTTGGCGATGAATATGTCGTCGCAACATCTTTTCTCTTCCGGGACGAATGACATCTTTTAGCGACGATATCATTTTTTCGTCGCCAAAAGCAAGGGCGACGCGGTATAGGCGACGGTAGACGAATATTTTTAGCGACGAAGCTTTCGTCGCAGAAAGATTTGGCAACGAATTTGTGAGCTTCAGCGACGAATTTTTTCGTTGCCAAAGATGTTGTTTGTTGTAGTGTGTACCAGTGGAGTGGTACGTGTACCAGTGGAGTTTGGAATACATCGTCATGAAAATATTGTGGTCTCCACCACTTTTGAAGTTTGGAATTGATTTTATTATTTTTCTTTTGTCGTAATTATTGGTTAACTTCTTTCAATTTCATTGAAATATCTTTGCCGACGAGTAATGAAGAGAAATGGTCTTCGCACAACTTCAGCGGTAATCATACTACTTTAGTGGTACATATATACCACTGAACTTGTACTATACCAATAGACTGGTATACATATCAATTAACTGGTACTTATACCACTATACTGGTACTTATACCACTGAACTGATACTAATTAAGACTGTCCTCAATATACCAATACTCATACTTACTTGATCATGAAATATAATTCTGGCACAAGCAACACAATAAACATTTAAATCAGTCAACAAATAGGAACTTTCCATTAGTAGCCAAAAGTTGTGTTCCAAAATGGGTTGCAAAATCAGGGAAATGCCAACAATAATGCCAAAAGCAATTAATTATTCTTCGAATGTGAATAAACATAAAGACTTCACAATTTTTTTAAGCCTAAACATGACACATATTTACTAGTACCACTCCACTAGTATCACTCCACTGGTACACGTACCACTCCACTGGTACATGTACCAGTCCATTGGTGCGTTTCCTCTGCCGCCTAGTGGTACCACCCTCACCTTCAGATTCTGTCGCCGCTTTCACCACTGTTCACCACTGTTCAAGCTCTCCACTTTCACCACTGTTCAAACTCTCCACTTTCACTCCACTGGTACACGTACCACTCCACTGGTACACGTACCACTCCACTAGTATCACTCCACTGGTACACGTACCACTCCACTGGTACATGTACCAGTCCATTGGTGCGTTTCCTCTGCCGCCTAGTGGTACCACCCTCACCTTCAGATTCTGTCGCCGCCACTTAGGGTTGATCGAATCTCTACCGTGGAAGGACGGTGGTCAACTGGAAAAGATCAAGCGCAGGCCGTGGATAAGAGGAAGTCGTTGGACGGTGATGTTTGGGATGGAAGACGGAGGACGGCAGACGGCCGACGACATGGATGGTTGGACTTGTTGTAAGGGCGGCGGGGATATCCCCTGCGTGTCTTCCTCCTCCGACGAGCAACCCACCTGGCGGGTCGGAGGCGATCCCACTGCGACGCTGCCCGATGTTTCCGATCGCCGTCGAGTTTTCCAGAGTAGAGAGTTGGATTGCTATTTGGAGAAAATACGGGGAATATTGGACTTGGAAGAGCAATCGACGCTTTCCCATCCAACAAGATTGCTCCTTCCCAATTAGTTTTTAATTATTATTGAGAACTTTCCCAAATTACAAGATTATGAAAAAAATACAAAAAACAACTGTAATTAATAATTGTCAAATGATTGAGAAAAAAACTGACCAATTAGAAAGGGGGTGTCAAAAATTAGACCCCTTTGGGGGTAGTCATGCTAACCGATTCCCTCATACGCTGACACCTATCCAAACTTCTCTAAATAAATACACTTACTATTTTTGCAAAGTTTGCCATTTGGTCCACTTTGTCAACCGCATGTCATCTCCCTCAATTTCTGCCACCTCCTTTGCCACGTTCCACTGCTCCATCTCCAACCTCCTCCTCACGAATGATATCGAAAATCGTTGGGGGTTCACCAAAGAAAAGTCACCGCACTTCTCAATCACTTGATAAAACAGTAAAAATCCATGAAAATCGGGGTCGAATCTGAATCTGGAACATATTCAGAGAAGCAACAATGCATTACAGGCTGTAACAATATAAAGAAGCAGCAATATGAAGTATCTAAATTGAGATTTTGGAGAAAATTTTTAGGGGAAAGCAATTGAAAGATAATTGTCAACTAAAGTTACCTGCAAAACTGGGAGTAATGACCCTCTAACCCTGTTTTGAGGACTACGATTCAGTCAACAACATTTAGATTTTTGACCTTCTTCGTTGAACAAGAGATAGAGGCCAAGATTTAGGGAAGTTGAGAAGGGGGTCGAGATCGTTGAACAGTCAGGATGGCATGCATGGTGGTACGTTATAGGAAAGATTATGGGAGGAGGCGCCGATGTTTCAGTTCGGGTAGAGAATCGACTGCAGTTGTATTTTCTATTGGTTCAGCTACGTACAGAGAAGGCGCAGCGGGATCATGAGGGAAAGACAGAGATATAGATATAAGCATATACGGCGAGGCAAATTCTTTTGTTTTGGCATGATCCCAGCCAGGTGAAACGACATAGAGAGAGACGGAAACTGAAATCAAGAGAAGAGACTATCGTCGGTGGGAATGCATTTTAGATGATCAAAACAGAGGGAAGAATAGAGTAAGCGAGGTGCTGCGGTAACTTTTTGAGGGAGAGAGATAGAGAGCGAACAGAGACGACATGTAGAAAAGCATATTGTGAGATGGAAGATGAGATTGCGGCAAACACTTTTTCTCAATTCTAGGGTTGATGCGCCAAATTTTTACAGTGACCACTGAATTTGGTGGGCTGGCCTAAGTCCTAAAACTACTAATTCATATTGGGCTTCAACAAATGAAACAAGTCTGCTGCGGAGCGCGACTCCACTTGCTTGTTAAGATAAAAGGTCGCATATTAAGTTTCAAAGAGAAGAATTTGTGAAAATAGAAATAAAATTCAGAAATTATAAAGTATTATATACAACTCAATGCAATTTTATCTAGGGCTGGAAAACGGTGTTTATGGTCCAGACCAAGTGCCTGAAGTATAGACCACAGACCAAACCACAGACTATACGGTCCGGTCCAGACCACGCCTGTGCGGTTGGTTCGGTCTGGTCTGGTCTAGATAGACCACACTCAACGAAAAATGAGCAATTTGTTTCGTCAACCACACAAAAAATTGAACCAATAACCAAGAAAAATAATTGTTATTTGCCTTAAAACATTAATCCTAACATTCATGAATAATTTTGGTACCCTAATTCTTAGTACATAACAAAGATTTAAAGTAAAAACATCTCAACTTGCACCATAACGTCATAAAACATTAACATAATGTTATATTGAGACATGATTATCCCTACTCTATGGTTAAATGTGGTTGTGAATGAAGGAGAGACGAGATTCACAAAATTAAGGTTGAGACTTGGGTGTCGTTGTGAGAGTTGGGAGAGTGGTCAAATGAGTTGTTAACACGTATTGACAAGTCGGTAGGGTCCACGGTTTGGTCCGGTAAACCGCGGTCTAGACCAGACTAGACCAAGAGATCAAAACATAAAATAATACAGACCATGGACCAGACCAGACCATACTTAACGGTCTACTGTCCGGACGAAACTGTACGGTACGGTTTGGACCACGGTTTTTATAACGGTCTGGTCTCTTTTCCCAGCCCTAATTTTATCTAACACAAATAACAGTGACTTAGAGGAAAAATGCTATATAATATTGTTAGGAAATTTATATCCTAACTTAAGTGGGCCATGAAATTATAAACACACTAGATTCGTTATTCACTTAGATGGGCTAAACCAAGTGATCAATTTTATGTGGCCCGTGACAACTCAAACTCAATATGGGTACAATGGGTGGAAACCACATACATGTCCACTAGGGTTTTATGGGAGCCCATGGTGGTACTTGTATATAAAAGAGTTGAGGTTGTGGTCTCCAACACACCAAGACAAAACACACTCTTCTACTTCCCATCAGGAAGATCAGAGAAAATCCAGTATAGGAACTAATGTGTCTTGATTGAGGTAGGTCACAATACCTTCCGTGTCGTGCTCTTAAGAGTATTGTCCGGTCGTAGAAAATCTGGTTTTTGAGAGAGAACTTAGAGAGAGAAACTAAAGGAAGGGAGCTCTATCCCCACTCAAGTCTTCATATGTATCTTCTTCCACCAAGGTACTAGGTGTTTAACCCTAATTAGGTTTTTTAATGTAGATGGAATTTTGTTTAGGGTTTGTGTATGGAATTTGTTTACTTAGTGATTATATGCTTCATCTATGATTAATTATGTATGGGCTTGTCTCTCCAGCTCTTTTCAACTGGCCTACCACTTGGGAGTTTATGAATTAGACTGGATTTGAGCACCTTAAGCTAATTACGAGTAGATGGATGTAGAGATTTAGGGAACTAATTTTAGGATGAGGTGACTCTCTCTTACCAATCAGGTGGCCTACCTAAGCAATGCTAGAGCGATGCATGTATAACCATCAACATATCGAGCTAGTGTGAAAATAGGTTGAACCTAATGGAAGGGTCTAGAATGAATCCCTAGTATCATGAACTTGATGGAGGTGACATTGGGTCAAGGAATTGTGCTAGGAGGGGGGCTAGTTGCATGACCATTGGGCTAGTCCCCACTTTAGTGAGTTCAACACCTTATTACCTCAAACCTGACATTATGAACCGTTTGCATGATTGACCTAAATCTTTGCAAGGGAGTTACCCCGAAGTACATGCTTTTGTCTTTCCTTTCTCCACCAATGCTTGGCATTTGACCTCCAAAAACAACCCTAACTGAACGACTAGAGAAAAAAAGTGAGAAGTAGCTATGGTATCAAAACCCGTGGAATACGACCTTGGTCAACCATTTATTAGCAATGACATCTTGAGATTTTACATGGCTAAAGATAGGTTAGTTAATTAAACTTGTGAAATCAACTTAATTACATGCATGAGGGTCACACTAGGTGTTTACGAAATCAAACTCCTTGTTTAAATGGCATCCTATAGTCCCTCAACTATACCCATCACGACCAACCTCTCTGCATCGCTCGCAAATGAAGAGTTGTGCAACATGGGTGTTCGACTCATTTTGAGTTCTTGCACCTCCTTTGCTAGGAAAACAAATTGTTTCTCTATTATAGCGAGAGAGTCATATCGCTCTTGTACCAGTTTCACTATAACAGGAGCACTTCTCCTTTATCAGTTTCTAGACTTGACAGCCATCGATGCATAATGCTCGAGAGCACGTTGCGGAGTCATATGAGATACATCATCTTTGGAAACTTGATCACCATCATTGTGCTATTTAGATTAAGGTCCTTGCCAAAGATGTCAGCTACTTGTTCTTGTGTGAACCCATCATGCGCAAGCACAAAGTAGACCTTGATAACGCTCCCATGCTGTGTACAACGACTCAAGGTGTCGGTGTTAGAATTGAGCAATTTGGTCCCTAAGATCATTATTTTTCCATGGAGGGAAAAGCACTTCAATAAAGGCTTGGATCAATGCATCCCACTTACGGAATGTTCCTTGTGGTTGGCGAGATAGATAGCTATTTTCTATCCTCGTAAGAGAGAAACGGAGGAGATGTGGCCATATTGCGTCGGCCTTCACTTTTGGATACTGTGATGAGTCACATATCTCTAGAAACATTTGGATATGTTTGACCAAATTCTCATTATTGTGGCCCTTGAAACGTCTTGCATGGTGGACCATGTGGATCATTGAAGTGCGCATCTCAGAGTTACGCACGTTGACCCAAGACAGGACAATGTTGAAATCGATGTTCACAACTTGAAGCCTTGTATAATCGTAGAGATTTCATTCTGCCATGCCTCTAGATGATGGGGATTCGGAGGGACTTTCTACTTTCGAACCTTCATCGAAGAGGGGATTTGGTGAAAGGCAGTAAAAAACCTATTCTCCCCCCTGGTTTCTTTTTCTTGGAGGTGGTGTCTTCTGATTTGATGCGTATGAAGTACCAATCCTATAATAACGACCTTGGGCACGTCTTTTCTGTCTACCCTTCTTGACTTTGGCCAAGATTTATTTGGGGCTCATACACTAGATGGAGGTCAAAATCTGGGAGCAGAACGACCTTCCAGAAATTATGTGCCCCGAGCGCCAAAAAAGGAAGGGAATCTGCGCTTCTGCCATTGATTTTCCTTAAGGTTACGAACAGTGGGAAGAAGTAAATAGAATGTATGCCTAGTTCCCTTTTCCAAAGTTTGCGAGATGTCCCTGACAATGGCGCCAAAATTGGATTCGTCGTGTAATGTAAGCCAAATTTACGTGGCCCTAAGGCCAAGATCATGTTCACTCGTGCCTCTCAAAGAACCCTTACTTCGGAAGTGAGGTGCGGTTCTATTGAATAAATGGTTGGTTTAGGAGGTTGAGGTACCTCCGATTTCGCAGAACTTAGGAGTTCAAAATTCAAAGCAAGTGCATAAAAGTTAATATACTCTAATGGAGAAGTAAGAGAGCATGGAAGGAAGGTGTTGCATAGGCATCATTACTCCTAGGTTTCCTAACCACGCGCCCCTCGATAATAGTAACATACGAGATGCTGATTTTTTTATTTCCTTAGATCCCACCTTGTGTGAAAACATTTACTTAAAATTATGTGCAACAAGGTCCCTTTGAATTTCTTCATTGAGGTGACATGCCGTTTGATCGAATAATGTTCAATCAAATAGGGCTTCTATTTCTATACCCATATTAAACTATTAGGATTTCGATCTTTGCACTTTGAAGGAGTGCAAGAACGTCAAATCATTCAATCGATTCAAAAAATAAAAAAATAGCATAAATCAAACATCACGCATATGAAAATTAAACAATCGTATTAACCAAATCATCGAGTTTACAAGGCTAGAACCCCTAGGGTTCACGTACCTTCACAACTATGGAACTGAGCCAACTATGGGGAGGGTGTTCTGAGCGTTCATCGACAAAAATGAAGACTCCAAGATACAACACGAAAATCGGCCAAAATAGAGAAAATGAGCCCAGTGGTGCCGATTTTCCTGTCGATTCTGCATCTAAGGTGGCGTCATTGTAAGTTAAGAGGGTTGCTCAGTCTACAGAGTAACAAACCTTCCTTGACCTCTTGTCTCCCCCCCCCCCCAACCCATCTGGGTACTCTAGATCTAGAGGCCTATTTATAGTTTTCCGACAAGTTTTTACAAGGAGAGAGAACCGCCTCTACTGCGTCATTCGGCCAATCAGAATCCTTCAAACACATAGCCAACAGATTAGGTTGTTTCTAGACAACTTCTTGACGAAGTGGTTGGCTCCAGCAAAATAGTGCCATGGCCTCCCTTTCTTTTAGTTAAAATGGCATTGTGGTCTGCTGTTCTTCATTCCTCCGGTCTTTGAATTCTTGCGCCACCAACTTGGGCTTGATGTCCCGTACGGCTTTCAAGTGGCCCACTAGGCTTCCTGGCCTTGAAAATGCACAAAAAGCTACCCAAAAGCAATAATCCAATGCATTATGACGATAATGATGAAATTGATTATTTGAGAGGAATCTATATTTTCTTATTAGCGTATGTGAAGTTCGTATATTTATTTTGTGTCCGTAGTAGCATTGATCACTATATACATACATGTCTTTGTTGTAGTGGATTGAGTATGTTATAATATTAGTTATTATTAGAAATACTTATTGTTATTGTTATATGTTTAGTTGGAAATTGTAGCCGAAGCATGCTATTATGGTTAGTTTAATTTGTGCGTGCCTACTTTAGAGATTCATATCTTACAATTGGCTCGATGGAAATTGGCGATTAATGGCTTGTTTTGAAGCTGGAGTGTCCCTCTACACATTAAAGTGATTGGGAGCTCGATAGGAAGTCCGGAATATCATTTTTGAACCTGATGAAAAGGCTATGCCAAAACTAGGAAACTGCCTGAAATGGCCAAGTCTGGGAAAGTGTTTGTGAAGCTTACTTTGGAGCTCAATTCGAGAAGCATGGATGAGATTCGAGTCGAAGGGCCTCTACCACATGAAAGTAGGTATGTTTGTCTACAAATTCAAGGCATTGGATGAAATATTGGATATCTGGAAGGCTTCAAATAAGAGGTTTGAAGTTGCTACGAAGTAAGCTGCCTTATAGCACAAGACTGAAACGGCATATTATGTCGACCTAAAAGTGCAAGTTATGGTGCATGCATGTCACCGCATCAAAGTCCTAACTTATATTATGACTGTTTGAGAGCAATATTTCGCCATGTAAGATTCAAGAAACTCCACAATTTTCCATGTCACCTTTTATCATT